AAAAAGGAAAAAAAAAAAAAAATTATAATCCCAAAAAAAAGGAAAGCCATTAACAGTTTGTAGAAACCTCTATTTAAATTCCACAAAAAGTTTCCATAACGTAGCAAAGTCCATTTCTCAATTTCCACCCGTTACATTCCATGACAGAGATTAAAAAGTAACTCACCAGCATCTGAAAGTGTAGTCCAGAGATAGATCTTAGATATTAATAAAGCAAAAAAAATAAAAAAAAAGTAATCCAAAGAGGAGAGTAGAAAAAAAAAATCCCCCCTTCCTCTCCTAAAGCCATCTAAGACGCTGGACTGCAGCGCTAACGTCTCTCATTCATGAGGCTCTCTGCATTTGTAAAGCACGATGTTTCCCAGCCGCCTTCGCTGTTCTATTCACTGGCTTTCCAATGGTGGAAGCAAGGAAAGGCAGGAGGAACAGCGTCCGCGGCTCTTGTGGTTCATCTTCCAAACTCCCCCTATCCAGAGGAGTATTCCGGTGGTCTTCTCTTCTCTAGACCCACCGCTAATCAAATGCAGCTCGGGCGGTCCCCAGAGCTCCGAGAAACGCAGCAGCGTGCTGCCCTGCCCTGCCCTGCCCTGCTTCTTTCTCTCTTGCATATGCAGGAGGTTCTGGAAAAAAGCTGCACCCTCACGTCTACTACCTCTCTTTCTACATGTTGTGACCCGGAAGAAGTCATCAAGCGGGTCACGTATGGCCTCTTAGAGCTCCCGTGGAGGTAGGCAGGGGTATAAATACTTCCTCCCTTGAGTTCTAGGCCAACCCTTCCAACATCAGGCTGACCCTTCTGTATTTCTCCCTGTGGAACTGGGATGGGCAGAAGGGTCCAATTTCTGATTTTCTTTCCAGCACCTGTGGCGAGCTGCTCTGGGCCATTGTCACCTCGCCGTGCTGCAGTAGAGATGCGATCTGGTCCCTGCTCCTGGCCAAGGTGAAGGAGGTCCCTTGGCCGCCTCCAGGAGGAGAGGAACAATCCAGCCATCCTCTTCCTGCAGCTACGGTAAGGGTTCAGCTCACAAGGAGGTGGTCCTCTTGAACACACAGACTTCACCCACTCCCTCCAGCCAACTTTCCTTTGCAGCTCTATTGGTGAGGCAGACTCTCCTTTTCTCCTCAGGCCAGCACGATAAGGCTCATTGGGAGGATCGTCTGGTCCGGGGAGTGCCCCATGGTGCTGGAAGCTTGGTTCCCTGAAGTTCTGTTCAGCCTGCTGGAGTCCATCATCAAAGGCGCCAGGCAACAGAATAGATCAACCCATGGAGGGACCCATGTGCCTCTAGAATAAGCAGTGGCAATGGGAAAAAGAAACCTGCTTCTGAGTTCCTCCTCCTTTTCCCTTCGCATGTCCAAGCAGCATTTCTGGTACGGCAGTGACTCTGTGGCCCCACAAGACCTCCCCTCAGATAGGCCATGGCATTGCATAGCCCCCCAGGCCAGGAAGAAAAGCTCTCACGCACACAGTGCTCCTAGCTTAGGCGCCTGGCTTTTTTCGTGAGGTCTGTCCCTAAGCTTTAAGGAAACGGAAGAAAATGGAATCTCTGGCCTTCTTGAGGTTTCCAGATGCTGTTGGGGTGGGGTGGAGGGAGTGGTGGACAGCTGCAAGGAAGAAGAAAGGTTCCCCTAGGGCTACCTCCCCTATTTGCTGTTTTTGTGGCATTCCAGGGAAAGGAGGGAGAGAACCTGGGGAGCGAAGCTTCCCTGTGGGCATAGCACAAATCATTTCTTCTGCCCTTAGACTGTGGGATCGTGCCTTGGTGACTCTGGCCTTCTTTCCTCTGCAGGGAGACAGTTGACATCATCCAGGTGCTGCTGGCCAAGGTGGCACACCTGTTCCTGGATGAGACCAGCAGGGAGATGTTGTGCCACCCCAGCCGCTGCCTCCATGGCGTGGCCATCTTGGTGACGTAAGTCAGAGGGCAAAGGGCCGCTTTTCTCCCCAAAGAGAACCTTTCTTCTGCTCTTCACGCCCAGCCTGGCCTGTCCATCTGATGGTTTTTTCTCAAAAGAGCCTTGGTGTGTTGCAGGGACCTCATTGAGACCTCCTTGTCTGCCACGTGCAGCCTCCAGAGACATCTGGCTTCTGTCTTGGAGAAGGAAGAGGCAAAAGAGCATTCAGCTGCAGCGGTGTCCTTCTTTGTTGAGGTAGGAAAATCCCCACCTTGTTCTGTAGGATTCTGAGCCTAGGGGGCAATGGGAGTTGGCTGACAAGGGTGATGCGGAGGAGAAAGCCAGAGTCGACCCCGGCCACCTTTAGGTCCCAGTGAGAAGGATTAAGCTCCAAAAGCGATCTCTCTTGCTTTCCCTGCAACTA